GTTACTTTTACTGTAAATAAGAATCTAATATGTTTCTAAATACTTCTACATTAATGTGGATTCTTCTATGATTACGGATAGTCCTAAATGAATCATGAATAATGATGAGTGAGAAAGTTAAAAATCCTATTTTGCCTGCTGTGTTATTCCATAAACTCACTTTAATTGAGCATGCAGTGCTCCAGCTGAATTTTGCCCCATGTCAAAGAGCATTCTTGTCAAAATTATTGATTGATCAGTTGATTGATGGTTAACTGGCTTTACGACTGAATAGTTTATTGATTGATGTATTCAGCCATTAGTTTCTACCAGGTGAATCTGTGTACTATTTGTCATTATTATTTAATGGATGTATTACTCTGTTTTTCTTCCACAGGCCCTGTACAACTCAATCAAGAATGAGAAGCTTCAATGGACAATGTGAGTTCCACTTCAATGCCTGCATGCCTTGTTATCTACAGTACCAGTCAAAAGATTGGACACACCTACTCATTCAAGGGTTTTTCTTTATTTTTACTATTTTCTACATTGTAGAATAATAGTGAAGACATCAAAACTATGAAAGAACACATATGGAATCATGTAGTAACCAAAAAGGTGTTAAACAAATCAAAATATATTTGAGATTTGAGATTCTTCAAATAGCCACCCTTTGCCTTGATGACAGCTTTGCACACTCTTGGCATTCTCTTAACCAGCTTCGTGAGGTAGTCACCTGGAATGTATTTCAATTAACAGGTGTGCCATCTTAAGAGTTAATTTGTGGAATTTCTTTCCTTCTGAATGCGTTTTAGCCAATCATTTGTGTTCTGACAAGGTAGGGGGTATACAGAAGATAGCCCTATTTGGTAAAAGACCAAGTCAATATTATGGCAAGAACAGCTCAAATAAGCAAATAGAAATGACAGTCCATCATTACTTTAAGACATGAAGGTCAGTCAATACGGAACATTTCAAGAACTTTGAAAGTTTCTTCAAGTGCAGTCACAAAAACCATCAAGCGCTATGATGAAACTGGCTCTCATGAGGACCGCCACAGGAATGGAAGACCCAGAGTTACCTCTGCTGCAGAGGATAAGTTCATTAGAGTTACCAGCCTCAGAAATTGCAGCCCAAATAAATGCTTCACAGAGTTCAAGTAATAGACACATCTCAACATCAACTGTTCAGACGAGACTGTGTGGATCAGGCCTTCATGGTCAAATTACTGCAAATAAACCACTACTAAAGGACACCAATAATAAGAAGAGACTTGCTTTGGCCAAGAAACACGAGCAATGGACATTAAACTGGTGGAAATGTGTCCTTTGGTCTGGAGTCCAAATTGTAGATTTTTGGTTCCAACCGCTGTGTCTTTGTGAGACGCAGTGTGGGTGAACGGATGATCTCTGCATGTGTATTTCCCACCGTAAAGCATGGAGGAGGTGGTGTTATGGTTTGGGGGTGCTTTGCTGGTGACACTGTCTGTGATTTATTTAGAATTCAAGGTACACTTAACCTGCATGGCTACCACAGCATTCTGCAGCGATACGCCATCCCATCTGGTTTGGGCTTAGTGGGACTATCATTTGTTTTTCAACAGGACAATGACCCAACACAGCTCCAGGCTTTGTAAGGGCTATTTGACCAAGAAAGAGAGTGATGGCATGCTGCATCAGATGACCTGGCCTCCACAATCCCCCGACCTCAACCCAATTGAGATGGTTTGGGATGAGTCGGACCGCAGAGTGAAGGAAAAGCAGCCAACAAGTGCTAAGCATATGTGGGAACTCCTTCAAGACTGTTGGAAAAGCCATTCCAGGTGAAGCTGATTGAGAGAATGCCAAGAGTGTGCAAAGCTGTCATCAAGGCAAAGGGTGGCTATTAGAAGAATCTCAAATATAAAATATATTTTGATTTGTTTAACACTTTTTGGGTTACTACATGATTCCATATGTGTTAATTCATGGTTTTGATGTCTTCACTGTTATTCTACAATGTAAAAATAAAGAAAAACCCTTGAATGAGTAGGTGTGTCCGACATTTTGACTGGTAGTGTATATACAGTATTTGTGCATTTAGGTGTATTTTGAGTGTGTGTATGGGTATGTGTGTGTTCTGACACACACACACACACACACACACATACACACACACACACAGTTCACCCAGAGTCCACACACGCACAAATAGTATTTGGTGAAGAGTATTGATAGATTTGTTAGCATCCTTATTAATGATGTGCATGTTGTCGGGTTGTAATGGAAACATTTGTGTGTCAAGGGTTGCCATTCTGGATCTCAGCCCACTGTGCTTCAGAGATGTCAATTAAGTTGCTGGCTTTCCAAGCTTTGTTGCCATAGTTACAGCACCATGGCTACAGCTCCATAGCTACCATTTCGCTCTTGCCTCTGTGTACCAGCGCAAGCACAAACACGCACTTCTGAACACACACACTCGCACGCACACACACGCACGTGCACACACCTATCATTCCATTAAAAGGTCCTAGTTGCATCCTGTACAAAGGTGTGACCACAGCCTCCCACTACCTTCCCCATAAATATACTGTAGTTGGCACATACACCCCTGAATACATGAATGCATAAATGATCACCATTGTACTTGTGAATCATGTGAATACATGTGATTACACAAACACAGATAGATTGCTGCACCACTAGATAGCCGACAACGTTATTTCACACCCCCACAGAGAGAGACACACACAGCGCACCTAACCACTCTTGCCAATGCAGGTGGATGCACCCACATGTTCTGCGCACACGCACACTCAAACACACACACACTTCCTCATTCAGCGTGTGAGCGGGGGTGGAGAGAAGCTCTGGGGGTTCAGAGAGAAATGAGGGTGGGCATCATGTTCCCCAAAAAAAGAGAAAGCGAGAGAGGGAGGGATAGAGAGAGAAAGAGCGAGAATGGGGGAAACCTATAGAAAATAATGACAGGAGAGAGCGAGAGCGGAGAGAAGTCTAGAGAATAGAGACGGTGATAGAGATGATAGAGAGAGAGGTAGAGGAGATAGAGGATAAGAGCGACGACTCATATGAGTCCACAATGAAGAAAAACTCGCCTCATACATAGAGGACGAAATTTATAATAGAAGAGGGACATGGAGAGAAAATCCCCAAAAAAGATGCGAGAGAGGGAGGGATAGAGAGAGAAAGAGCGAGAATGGGGGAAACCTATAGAAAATAATGAAGAGAGAGAGAGAGGGAGAACAATATAATAGAAGAGGAAATGGAGAGAAAGATGTTCCCCATAAAAAGAGAGAGGGAGGGATAGAGAGAGAAAGAGCGAAACCTATAGAAAATTATGAAAGGGAATAGAGAGGAAGTAGAGAGAGAGAAAGAGAGTGAGAGAACAATATAATAGAAGAGGAAATGGAGAGAAAGGATAAACGAGGCCCATCTGCTTTATTATTCCTTCTATTCTGCTAATCTTGCTCTCCTCCCTTATTGACTCAAATCTAGGGTTGCAAAAGGGGAGTATATTACTGGAAACTTTGAAGTTTACCAGTAAATTAACAGAATTTTGGTAACTTTCAGGGAATATACTGAATTTTAGCAGATGACATCCTTTTTGGATATTTCAGATTGTTATATATGTCTGTAATTATCTCTGGCCTTATCACATGTAAAATATATTTTTAAAATCTAATAAGATTATATAAAAAATTTTTTAAATTGAATGATAAAGCTGTAAAACATTATCCTAAATATAAACCATCAGTGTTTAATATGAGGGTTTCAGCATGAAATATCCTTTATATATTTTTGACACAGTTTTATTTTACCATGTCAATATGTCTTTGTTGTAAATTTGTTGGGGCCAAACTGGTGTCAGTTGTGAAAAAATACAATAGTTGGAACGGTTTCAGAGTTTATTGAAAATATGTATTTTTTAATTAAAGCTGTGATATATAACTTTTAGGGCAACCCAACCAAATTCACATAGAAATGTGAGTTATAGATCATCATTCTCATTGAAAGCAAGTCCAAGAAGCAGTAGATCTGTTCTATGTGTGCTATTTCTATGCTTGCTGTTCTTAAGTTTAGTTTTTTTTACTTTCAGTTGTGTACACCAGCTTCAAACAGCTGAAAATATAATAATTTTGGTTATTGAAATTATATTTCACAGCGGTTTAGATGGTACAATGATTCTCTACAATCTCTATGCTTGTATTGTCACATAAACTGAAATTAGGCTAACTATTAGAATTTTTGCAACCAGGAAATGGCGGAGCCATTTCTGCATAGTGCAACTTTTTATTAGGCTATTTTCTCTTTAACCATATGGTCTATCCACTAGAAAGTTATGGACAATATGGACACAGATATATTTTAAAAAAGGAATACTATATATGAATACATTTTTTACAAGTTATTCAAGTATAAATTACCATAGATTGCCATAGATTACCGGTAACTTTGGTAAATTACCAATAGCTTTGCAACCCTAATCTAATCATCCTGTCTTCCATTGTCTCCTCTCCTGCTGGCTCCTATCACCTGTTAGAAGAAGGAATAAGAAGAACCCATTTCACTGGCATTAGAATATAGACACGACCAGGCATCTGAAAAACATTATCATAATAATACCAATATACCAGTCCCATTTCAATGATTTATTTAGTCATTTATTTATAAGGGACCATGCAAATAGCACCTACAGCTACAGAGCTCATTTGCATGATGAATCATTTTGATAGATTTTGGTTACGGTAATGATTATTTTGAGGACTAAAATAAAAGCTGAACCATTTCCATGGATGAAATGCTTTCTATCATCACAGTAATCTACGTCAGGGGTTGTGATTACTTCTGCTCTGCATCGGGTGCCCTATTTCACTTGACCACAACTGTATACAGTATACAGGAACACTGTTACTGTATTTTGTCACGTGTCATATGTGTTTTAACGGGAACGTGTCATAGGTGTGACAAGACTATTGTGTCCACGTTAGCTACTGGTGCAGCAATGTCATCACACATCCCGGCATGCCTTGCAGGTCTGCCAGCCCATCCCCAGACCTAATCAACCTGTTCACTCTCTTCCCCTACGCATCACCACCCCATCCCCCTCTCCTCTCCTTCTATCTCACCTATCCCCTCTTTATTATGGCTTCTATCTCCTATATCAGCTTTGTCTTTCTAGGCTTTTGTTTTCTGTCTATCTCCCTCGCTCCCTCATTTTCATCCATCCCCTCACGCTCTCTCTCTCACTCCCTTTACTTTGTCTCAGTGTATAGTGAGATTCACGCAGACCAGCAGTTACCAGGCAACAGGCTAGAACTCTGAGACACATGCTCACCAGCTCTCACTAGCTTTCTCTCTATCTCTCTCTCTCTCTCTCTGTCTCTAGCTTTCTCTCTCGCTCTCACTGGCTTTCTCTCTCTCTCTCTCTCTCTCTAGCTTTCTCTCTCTCTCACTAGCTTTCTCTATCTATCTCTCTATCTCTCTATCTTTCTCTCTCTCTCTCTCTCTCTCTCTCTCTCTCTCTCTCTCTCTCTCTCTCTCTCTCTCTCTCTCTCTCTCTCTCTCTCTCTCTCTCTCTCTCTCTCTCTCTCTCTCTCTCTCTCTCTCCTGTACTGCTGGTTACTCATATCTTAATCTCAAAGCGTTCCAAGGGAGTCCAATTTCATGGTGCTTTGAATGTCAACTTTTACACAGGTGAAGGTGAGGTAACAAGTGTAGTCTTTGTTTTAAACTGGGTTTGACTGATATTGGGTTGATTAACTGACTAGGAATGGGAAACATTATAGGAAAGGTTCAGATCTTAACATGAGCTATCCTCTTAACTGCTGCGTCAGGTCCAGATTATCCCACATGTAAAAAGATGTTAGCAACACCCCAACCATGTTTGTAGTATTATGATATCAGTAAGGGGGGATGTGGTGTAAATGGTTTATACTAAGTACAGTATCTTCATTTTGAGTGGGACTAGCGTGATGATTATTTGAACCTGCCTCAAAATTCCAAACTACACTCACCGGCCAGTTTATCTAGTATTGGGTCCCTTTGCCTCCAGAACAGCCTGAATTCTATAAGTCAGAAACGTTCCACAGGGATGTTGGTCCATGCTGACGCGATGGCATCACGCAGTTGCTGCAGATAGGATGGTGGTACACCACCGCCACCAGCCTGTACCGTTGACACCAAGCAGGATGGGTCCATGGACTCATGCTACTTACACCAAATCCTGACTCTGCCATCAGCATGACGCAACAGGAACCGGGATTCGTCGGACCAGGCAATGTTTTTCCAATTCTCAATTGTCCAGTGTTGGTGATCGCGTGCCCACTAGAGCCACTTCTTCTTGCTTTTAGCTGATAAGAGTGGAACTCAGTGTGGTCGTCTGCTGCAATAGCCCATCCTTGACAAGGATCGACGAGTTGTGCCGTTCTTCACACCACTGTTGTACTGCGCCGTTATTTGTCTCTTTGTGGCCCATCTGTTAGCGTGCACGATTCTTGCCATTCTCCTTCGACCTCTCTCATCAACACGCTGTTTTCGCTCACAGGGCTGCCGCTGACTGAATGTTTTTTGTTTGTCGCACCATTCTCGGGAAACCCTAGACACTGTTGTGCGTGAGAAGCCCAGGACGGCAGCCGTTTCTGAGATACTGTATCCTGCGTGCCTGGCACCGACGATCATACCACGCTCAAAGTCGCTTAGGTCACTCGTTTTGCCCTTTCTAACATTCAATCAAACAGTAACTGAATGCCTCGATGCCTGTCGGCCACATGACTCACTGTCTGTAGGAGCGATCCATTTTCTTGAATAAACTGTCCTGTGAGTGTATATTTCAATTCAGTCAATGGTCAAGGCAGACAGACAGACAGACAGACAGCTAGCTTTCCATTTGGTGTGATAATTGTGAGAGTTTGTGGCACCCCACTGGGCAAAAACTGGTCGAATCAACATTGTTTCCACGTAATTTCAACCCAATAAATCAATGTGACAACGTTGAATCACTGTGGAAAACTAATTGGATTTGCAAAAAGTCACCCAACTTTTTTCACCCAACTTTAACTTAAATCCAATGAAATGGTGAAATGTTTTGTTGATTTCACGTTGAATTCACATTAGTTGACAACTCAACACTAGATGTTGAACTGACGTCTGTGCCAAGTGGGACCTAACGTGACATCGTTGGACTAACTCCTCTATAATAACACTCAGTTCGAGAGTTGAGAGAGCTGATCCTCAGCAGCTAATTAAGCTCTCGTTAAGAGAAATCGCTCCTCATGGCTGCTCTGATGAGGTACGCAACAGAGAGCTGAAACTATCTCCAAATCCTAGACACAGTAGGAAGCCAAGGACTGAATACATTTAGTAGGCAGTGCCAGCAGTTTTTCCTGACCTTGTGACATGAAGATAAAAAACTCTGGGCCCTATAATTATAGCCTATGTATAACTACGAACATAGTTTTTCCTGTCAGGCCATGTGATCAGGAAAACCTCCTGGGTCTATGTACAGTATAGACCAGTGGAGGTGTCACTTAAATCGGAGGACATGCTCTTTGTAATGGCTGGAATGGAATGAATGGAATGATATTAAACACATGGAATGGCATCAAACACATGGAAACCAATTGGAATGGAAACCATGTGATTGATGTGTTTGATACCTTTCCAATCATTCTGTTTCAACCATTGCAATAAGCCACCCTCCCTCCACCAGCCTCCACTGGTATAGGGATGACAATCAACTGTATACTAAGATACAGATACAGTTATATTTTCATCATGCACTGATAACCACAGACATTTTATAGTTTTGTAATAACACATCAATTGCAGCCCATTTATTTGTTCTGTTTGAGCTAGTTGCGCATTTGGGAAAGTACAACTTTTCACAGTCCTGGAGTGGTTCCTCTCATGAACAATGGGGAAACACGCAACTGAAAAAGTCAGTGTCAAGTCTGAAATGTATCTCAGGGATAGGAAGTCCCTAGTGGAACAGAATGCCCTCCTTTTTCACCTCAAAGCTGCCATGCGATCGATCATGTCGCTCTCCTGCTGTGGTGTGTTTTGATCAAGGAGAGTGGACTGGTTCTCTGGAGACCAAGAGGAAATCACAAAGAATGGTAGAGGTAGGGAAGGGAAGGAGGGAGGGAGGAGGGGAAGACAGCAAATTAAGGCTTTGAAGAAGAAGAAACACTATCATTCACTCAGCTTCCCCCTAGGTAGAATTGTGCTTTGTAAATATGTTATATAACCAAGGATATGCCCACACACTTCACTTTAGAAATGTTGGTAGATGACAAAAAGCACATTATAACCTGAAGCGGGAGTTTGAATAGGCCTATGTGTTCTGCCATTGAAACGACTCTCTCTCATCCTATCTTCTCTCTCATCCTATCTTATAATGAACGGTCACAGAGTGAGATGGATGGAAAGTGATTGGTTGAACGTGATTGGTTGACGTTGTTGCCAATGAGGCGAAGTAAAATAGGAACCAGGTTTCTCATCTTTCTGTTTCTTGTGGCCATAGCGATGAGGAGGAGATGCGGAAGTCTTTCTCAGAGCTGGGGGACACCAGCCAGGCAGACTCCACCTCTAAACAAATGAAGAGCATGGCCAGCGGCGGGAAACCCCTAGTGGCCATGGCCCAGCCCTCGGGAGCCCTGCTGTACAAGAACGGCTTCCTGGTGCGCAAGGTGCACGCCGACTCAGACGGCAAGAGAAGTACGTGCCAAAACCATATACATACACTACCAGTCAAAAGTTTGGACACACCTACTCATTCAAGGGTTTTTCTTTATTTTTAGTATTTTTTACATTGTAGAATAATAGTGAAGACATCAAAACTATGAAATAACACATATGGAATCATGTAGTAACCAGAAAAGTGTTAAACAAATCAAAATATATTTTATATTTGAGATTCTTCTAATAGCCACCCTTTGCCTTGATGACAGCTTTGCACACTCTTGGCATTCTCTCAACCAGCTTCACCTGGAATGCTTTTCCAACAGTCTTGAAGGAGTTCCCACATATGCTGAGCACCTGTTGGCTGCTTTTCCTTCACTCTGCAGTCCGACTCATCCCAAACCATCTCAATTGGGTTGAGGTCGGTGGATTGTGGAGGCCAGGTCATCTGATGCAGCACTCCATTACTGTCCTTCTTGGTAAAATAGCCCTTGCACAGCCTGGAGGTGTGTTGGGTCATTGTCCTGTTGAAAAACAAATGATAGTCCCACTAAGCCTAAACCAGATGGGTTACTACCAGGGGCGGTGTGTTCAATAGGGCGATATGGGCGACGCACTGCCAAACGGGAAAAGGAAGGGATTTTTTTTCTAATCAATTATATCACGGCAACAGTAGTTATCAGTGTTGTAATCTAGACGTCTGATCTGCCACAGTGCCACTAAATGTCCAATCAGGCTAAAGTCGTGCTTCAAATGGCCCCCCCCCCTTTTGGGGCGATTTCAGTCAGGTTGAAAATCGCCCAGAAGTCTGTCATAGACTCCCATGTAAAATCTATTTTTTTCAAATATCAGAGCTTTCAATACAATCTCTATGGGTTTCTGAGGGCTTGCACTTACGCGCTTTCGTCATACGTAACATAACCATGAACGTAACTAAGAAAAGAGCGGGTAGCAGCGTCAATCAATTCACTATTACTGTCAAAATGGCTAGGCTTCAGTGCAACTCGATTGTGTCTTTGAAAGAAGTTCCTTTTTGTCGGCGAACAAATGAAGATAAATTGGCAACGAAACAATTAGGACCTCCCAGACCAAATTTAATAATTCAACAGGTTTCTACTAAAGGGGGGAAGTCCTACACCCGAGGATTTTCCAAAAATTGGTACGAACGAAAAACCTGGCTAGCAGGCTGCGATGTAGCTAATGCAGTCTTCTGCTACCCCCTGCTTACTCTTTCACCCTGAAGGCGGCACGGCAGACAGCACCGCTTGGACAGCGACTGGTGTGTAACGGACATGCACCATCTTTCAGGAAAGATTAAGAAACATGAGCTGTCAAAGACCCACATGGATAGCTGTTTGAGATTGTCTGCTTTGGGGAGAGTGAACATTCCCACTCAACTGGATGAGGGATACAGGCTAGCTGTCCGCCGCCACAACGATGAGGTTAGTGTTGATAATCACAAGTTTACTGGAGAACTGAAACTGACAAGGCTGACAAGATAGGACCCTTTTGTCCATTGTTATTGGATAGGAACAGAACTTATAACCAGCTCCTGACCTAAATAGATCTTAGCACAACATTTTACTCAACATATCATATTCCATATTCACTATAACAAATATATTTACTACGACATTAGCAAGAACCGCCACATCCTCAGCCGGCTAATCCAGTGTGTGAAGTTTTGCGGAGTGTTTGAGTTAGCTTTGCGAGGCAAAGATGAAACTGAGGGCTCCACCAACCCTGGTAAGCCAACACTTTTGAGATCAGTCAATAAATGCTTCTGGTATTGACTTATATGCTGCCCCTGTCTTCATGTTGTTGCTGGACATATCTTTTTTTAAATGTGTGTAGGTCACCTAAATCATCAGAAAAATTGCCCCCCCTGAGAATTTTTTCAGGAGCCGCCACTGGTTACTACATGATTCCATATGTGTTATTTCATAGTTTTGATGTCTTCACTATTATTCTACAATGTAGAAAATAGTAAAACTAAAGAAAAACCCTTGAATGAGTAGGTGTGTCGAAACTTTTGACTGGTACTGTACATGTATAGCTCATTGGTCCAAACCCCCTATTGACCCCCTATAAGTCCTCATAGTATGTGTCAAACCCCTATCCTCTCCATATCCTCATCGCTGTTTATTCGTTAATCCTACTCATTTAGTCTTTCACTGTTACTTTAGCAGCAGCTACAGTATACTTCTTGTGGTCCACATACAGTAAATCGTATGATTCTCATTGTAACAATGAGAGTGTTTTGGCTCTGTTCCAACATCCATACTAGCCTACCACTTAGTAGGAAGCAATGTATTGAGTATATAAAGGTGTGATGTTAGTATGGACATGTGAAGGTGACCTGTGTTTTGACCGAACTATTCTCCTGATCACAGCACCGCGTGGTAAAAGAGGATGGAAGACGTTCTATGGCATTCTGAAGGGGCTGGTTCTCTACCTGCAGAAGGTGAGCAGCTCCTGCCGATGGGAGCAGGTGTGACAAAACTTCTGTCACTTCTGTCTCACTTTATGAACTCACGAGACATTCACTGTTCCGCACCACAGAACATTGCCAAATGTTCTGAAAAGTCTAAAAGTCTACGTACTCGTATTCAGTAACGATACAGTATATACGTTTCTGCACCAAAGAAAACCCCCCAAAAGACTGCTAAGTTACATACTCATATACAATAACATGTGTGATATACGTATACCAATATTTGATTGACATACACTGAAATACTAAAACCACTCATATAGATCCACTCTCCAACCATGCGGATGGATTTTCATATCCTGATAAGTGTTGATATTATCAGAATGAGATAATTCACAAAGGTTGAGTCCTTGGTTCAGTGCCTTCATACTACAGTCCTCGGACCTGGCACTGCCCTCTATGCCCATATAGACCAGTGGTCCTGGCCTTTGCTACAGCCAGCCCTGCCAGCTTCTTGGGCTTGTGTTCTGCTAACTGAACGGAAGCAAGGGTCCCATCCAGAGATGTTATCATTGCGATGCAGCTGTGCCAATGATTTATGTACTGTATGTCTATGGGCAGTGCTCTCTAGTCCAACACTCATGTCTGCTTTGGGGAGAAGCAAGGCCCTTTACTGGGGTGTCAAAAATACCCTTTTCCTTAGTATGGTTTGTTTTGTAACATCCCAACAACAAGTCATCCTGCAGAAAGAGAGGTCTGGACACAGTTATCTACTAGAGTGTCCTGATTCAATCATCAACAGTGCAGTTAAAATCAATTGCTGTGTTTTATGATTGATGACATTTCACACCATAACATCCAATGCTAACTTACTGATGCTTGACATTCACACATTAAAACTCAATTAGATTATCGGTACTCAAAGAACCATCTGGGCATTGCATACACTACCCTGTGGTCAGAAGAACTACTGCAATGGTCAATAATGATCAAAATGATGTATTCACACTTTATGATGATTGTCATTGTTTGACCGTGGAGGGAGAGTACCGGCCAGATAAGCAGCTGACGGACGAAGATCTGAAGAACGCTGTGTCCATCCACCACTCTCTGGCCATGAGGGCTGCCGACTACAGCAAGAGACCCAATGTGTTCTACCTCCGCACCGCCGACTGGAGGGTCTACCTCTTCCAGGCACCGTGAGTCCCATCCCTCACTACACTGTTCTTGTCTCATCCATTCTTAACACACCTCAAAGACTGACTTATACCTTGCTTTCTCACACTCCTGTAAGATCGAGCCATCCCTCGTTTTTACGAGTTGGGGTTACACACTTTCAATTGAATGCGAGATGGTTCATTCTTTGGCTTGGAGCCATATCCTGCAACTTATTCTTAATTGCACAGCACACATCCACCTCGGTCAATAAACCTGAGCTTGACTTAGCAAGGTCACCCTCCTCCTCTTGTCTCCTTGTTTGACCACTAGCTGTCTCGCCCCCAGTCTCTCCCCTTCTCACCAGCCAAATAATGGCTGTTGCTACCTCCTGCTGTGTGTGTGTGTGTGTGTGTGTGCGTGCTTGTGTTTGGGAGGAGGAGGGCAGTGGGGGGGTGTAAATTCAGGATGCAGAGGCACATGATGTGGCCACATGTTCCAGTCACCCAGGAGGACCGGCTCTGCTCCAGTTGCAGCCTGCATTTGTCCCAGATACCTTCCTCTCTCTCTCCCTCTCTCTCTCCCTTTCTTTCTCTCTCCCTCTCTCTCTCACTCTCCCTCCCTTTCTCTCTTCTGTCTCCCCCTCCCTCCCCTTTTTCTTCCTCTCTCTCCTTTCTCAGCCAGTGTCCAGGGAGTTGTGACAAAGCTCTCTGACTCAATCGGATTACTCTCTAATGGCCCTTAGTAGATAACACCAATTTTTCTCATCTATTAATTGGCCCCTCAATTATTCCTTTGCCAAAAGCAAAGCGGCGTTTCTCAATTCAGTAGCTGTGATGAAAATCACTATGATGTCTTAGTTAGCTCTGTGCGGTGGGGATTGATATGTGTGTGTGGGGTGAGGGGGGGGGGGGGGGGGGGGGTGTATGTGCGTGCAAGTCCATCTTTGGTATGTGTTTGTGCAACAAGATCTCACAAACTCACTGTGTGTGTGTTTGGTTTGTCCGTCATAGAAACACGGAGCAGATGCAGTCGTGGATCACGCGCATCAATACGGTATCAGCCATGTTCTCGGCGCCACCTTTCCCTGCAGCCATTGGTTCACAGAAGAAATTCGCCCGACCGCTGCTGCCATGCTCCACCTCCAAACTGTCACAGGTACCCTCCTTCACACCATATCATCATATCACCAATCAAATTGACTATACCATATCACCACCATGATTTTAAAAAATCACTCTTTAAAATGAATGAGTAAATGCGATTATTTTAAAGGTCCACAAGGACAAAACTCTGTCAGGCCTACAGAGTTGACATGAGTGATGATGATGTGCTGGGAGAAAATACATGGCTGTCTATCTTTCCATCACCCTGGTCAGGTAACCTGGGTGGTGAACTCTGAACTCTGAGTATATGTTCTTACAGGAGGATCAGGTCCAGTCCCAAGAGGCTCGGTTCCGGGCCATCTCCACTGAACTGGCCGAGCTGCGCTCGTATCCTCCAGACCGAAAGGTCAAAGGCCGCGAGCTGGAGGAGTACCGCCAGCGGGACGAGTACCTGGAGTTTGAGGTGAGCCCGAGGCGACAGTGTGTGAACTTTTGAAAGGCAACAGAAAGGAAAAGAAAGAAATGGGAATTCAGTCGAGCGTTAAGCAATTATGCAGCACTGCATTTCTGTCTCATTCACTTCCTCTGCTTCCCCTCTCTCCGTTTCTTGCCTTCTCTCGCTCTCCCTCTCTCTCCCCGTCTCCTGTGCTTTCTCACCACCTTTCTCAATCTCCCTCTACCTTCCCTCCTCTCCCTCTGTCCCCCTCTGCCTCCATCCCCACCCTCTTCTGTAATGTAGAAAACGCGCTACGGTACCTACGCCATGCTGCTGCGGGCCAAGATCCGCTGCGGCGAGGATGACCTGTCCGTATTCGAGGCCCAGATCCTGGAGGACAACGGGCTGCAGCGCGCCCACTCCAGCCCCACGCTGCAGGACTCCAGCCAGGCCAGCCAGGCCTCCCAGGGCAGCAGCACCAAGGAGCCGGTGGGCTGCAGCGGCATAGGAAAAGGCTCCAAGCGCACGGAGGGCCAGAGATACAGCTACCGCCAGGCCGTCAAGAAGTGAGGCAGGGCGGGGCGCCGGGTGGTGATGACGTGGCAGGCTTGTCTCCCTGCGCAGGTTTTTATTTGAGATCCAGGGGAGGGGGCTTATAGGAGCTTGAAAAGGAGAGGGGTGAGAGTGTACTGTATACACCACGCCCCATGGCGCCCCCCACCCGGCACCCCTGATCTCCTCGGCCAATAGGGGAGGTGCAGCAGTGCAGATCCTATGACTGGCCAATGCCAGCGGTGCGTTGGGGCAGGAGGGAGGAGCATTGGAGAGGAGGTATTCCAGAGAAGGCTTTATGGTAAGACAGAGGGTCCACCCGTAAGCAGTAACGCCGCCGTACAGGGAGTCCCCATCCAGCATCTTTTTATTTCCTTTTCTTTCAGGGCACCTCTCCCACAAACCCCTCCTCCAACATTTTTTCTTGACATTTTTTCCTCTGATTTGGGACTAAACATGTTTACACGTTTGACACATTAAGTCTTAGATGACTGTGCTGTTGATTTGAACATGTGTTACAGTACTGTAATTCTATAGTAACAGGAGCTAGATCCTAGACTCATTGCAGTTCCCTTTTTTTCCACAACATCAGGGTGTGTCCACATTCCATGAGGGAGCCTAATTACGAGGGTACTTGCAGCTCCTGAACTCTTCTTTGAGGCAAATATGATGGCAACAAGGTGGCTCTAGTGGATCAGAATGGCAGTGCACTACGCATCCGGATCCGCAATGAAGGCTCAGTTGCAGCCCTCCCTCCTGGCCCGAGTCAGGGCGAGAGACTGTGCTCTCATGACATCAGACCGCTCCACTCTCTGCCCCCTCGCTCTCTGCTCCCCTGTTCTCACGTTCTCTGTCTTAGAGAGGGGGGTAACTGTGGCTCACCTCTCTGTCATCTATCCCAAATGGGTTGTCAGAGTGGTGGATGTCATTTCAGCCACAGTAGGCCACTACTGTACAGCTACACACAAGTATAGTCCCCTGTAGCTCAGTTGGTAGAGCATGGCGCTTGCAACGCCAGGGTTGTGGGTTTGTTTCCCACGGGGGGCCAGTATGAAAAAAATTAAATGTATGCACTCACTAACTGTAAGTCGCTCTGGATAATAGCGTCTGCTCAATACATTTTTTTTAAAAGTGAGTAAAAATGTCTCAGCAAGAGAGGCCCATGTTTACTTAATTCCTTTTCCTTAAAGGGGCAATCTGCGATTAATATATATACCCATTGATTCTTGAAGAATAAAACTATAGATTCCTCATGAGCTTAGTTCAACCCAAAATATAAACTTGTTTAAACTTTGTTTGTAAACAATGTAATTGTAAACAAACATGACATAGTCTCAAAACTCCAGCCCCATCCCTCAGCTGTTTACCAAATCAGTGGTAGGATGACCGCTATGTTATTGTTCAAACAGCAGATTGCCCCTTTAATAACAGTTGTTACTCCTCCTACCTAGCCAGTTGCTTTAGCTTTGTCTTACAGCAGGCTTCTTTTTACTACTCTGTGCTGAATGTTGTTTTCTCAGCATGCCTGCATCGAGCTCTGCCTTTCTCTTCTTCTTGGGGAAAAAAAAGTGTTTGGTTAATGTTGTCTTTGTACTAATGCTGTTGTATTGACATGTCTTCCCTGTTACTCCCTGTGTAATCTTATGTGTATACTTATAGGCCATCGTTTATAAGACCTTGTAAGACATTCACCAGGCAGACCCTGAATGTACTTGTTTTTTCAACATTTTTACAGCATTTTACAATAATCTGTTGATGTTGGACATTCTCCCCCTCCTCCTGTGTACTGTTATAAGTGTCATTATACATAAGTGTTATTATAGTAAACCTATGGCATATGTTTTATAATAACCAGCCAACTACTATATTATTATGCTTATATTGTATGATACATTATATATGTAGTTTTACAATATATCCTGGTGAATATGCATAAAATAAACGAATATTATACATTCCCTGTATTTAAATGTCCTGAAAGTGATCTATGATAATCATGTGTTTTTGCAGAGTATTCTGTATGGACAGGGTCAACAAAGGCACCAGCACAATCTTGAGTATTATCAAAATGCCTATGTATCTATCAAACAATGATGAGATTGAGAAAGGAGATCTAGCGAAGTGGGACAATACCATAATCAAATTCCCATCATTATTTCAACTCCCTGGCCTGAAGTATTCTGAAGAGAGTGAGAGGGGCATTCTTCTTTAAATTGATAGCATGATTCACTTTGAAGGTATTTGTTGATGTTGTCACAGAGTAATGTTTTGCCATAATGTTTGACACTGTGGCCAGGGTAGTGATATTACTGCTTGGTACTTGTATGTATTGATAGTGTTTGACACTGGTGGCATATGTAGCAAGGGTAGTCTACCACAGAATGACATGTCCCCTCGGACATTGGAGGGAACAGGGTAAGGACTGGGGGCCCTTTACATACAAAGGGACGTTGTGTAGTTCAATCAACAGGTTGCTACATGAAAAACAGACATATGGAATAATGTAATGGGTGTATGTGTAACATGTGAAATGCGAGAGGAGGGCCTTGTAGGCTAATAGAAGGGGGAAAGCAGAAAGACATTTACTGACAGAACATGTATGGAAGCATATCCATACCATATCCCAATCAATGTAAAGAAAAATAATCAACATAGCTATTTCATGACATACCTTCAGTTTCAAACATTCAGTGGAGAATGTCATAAAGTTGCCTAATATGTTTGAAGGAAAGCCATTTTCTACTCAGGCTTTCAAATGTCGCCTTGAACAGCTGTAAGCCCAGCATCATACCAGCAGAGAGAGCTGTTTAGCAGAACATTCAGTTACCTTTCAACCATAACATTAATCCCCCTGCACTGCACAAACTTTTTAGGGTGGCCCATTTGCAGTCTCTCGATATGGAGTACTGCTTAGCTATGTGTGATCGGTGACAGATAGTTATTTGTGTGTGTGTGTGTGTGTGTGTGTGTGTGTGTACATCTGAGGAGATGTGTTTCTGTTCTGCTGTAGGTTTGTGAATGTCATTGAATGCAGTATGCTGCGACCTGGCTGACCTACTGTTCTACTAAGGAGCCTATTTAAGGAATGTGGCTGAGGAGAATGTTCTAGCCAGCGCATTCATGTGATGTTTTAAAGCAGGAACGGCTTATCCAGCTGTGTCCATTACCTTTAGTTACCTTGCTGGAAATGTTTTTTTGTACAATTGTAGTACAGATAATTGAATGTTAGGCCTAAGTTTAGCATGGTGTATTTTGCCTCGTCTTTTCCTATCTCACCTCAACTTCTTCTCCTTCCTTTTCCGTTATCTCTTCCCCACTCCATTCTCCTCTGCTCACGCTTTCTTGCCCTCTATTCTCCCCTCCACTCCTCCTCCTCTCTCGCATCACTTCATTTTCCCTCTGTCAATGACATTGTCAGTTTGCTCTGCCCTCTGTCTCTGTCATCATCTCACTGCTATCACTTTCATATTTTAGGAAGCTGCCTTTATCAGTTAACTGTAGGTGTATATTGTTATTATAATTGATGATATATACATTTAATTGTATTGTAACGATGTTACAGCTGTGATATTACTGCTTGGTACTTGTATGTATTGATAGTGTTTGACACTGGTGGCATATGTAGCCAGGGTAGTCTACCACAGAATGACATGTCCCCTCTGACATTGGAGGGAACAGGGTAAGGACTGGGGGCCCTTTACATACAAAGGTGACGTTGTGTAGTTCAATCAACAGGTGAACAACTGAAGATCTCATCTCTCACAAACTATTTGTTCATATCATAGGGTCTATGCAATACATGCCCTGTTTCCTGTGTCCCAGGCACTAACCATGAGGGAGAGAGGCACAGACAGTTTAATATGGTATACAATGTGTTATAAAGCAGTATGATAGTCAGGACTAGCCTCAGCTTCAACCTCAGCGAGCTCTCTATGCCAACTCTGCCACCTCTGACATCATCACAGAGCAGCTGCAGGGTCTCCATGGCACTGGTTTGCATGGAAACCGCTAGTTCCCTCCAAGTGTTGGCTCCATGATACTGAAATGAAAGCCTAGGTGTTACTGTATGTTCAACCCATTCCCAGCCAGCACTTCTGAATGTGACATGTGCATATATATATATATAAACAGCATGAGATAATATTATTATGGTCTGCTTTCCTTTGTGTTATGTTTAGTGTATTTAATGAAAGGTTAATATATAGAACAACATTTTGGTCCTTCAGTTCATTGTCATGTTTTTTGTATTATAAAGCTGAATAAAGGAAAAGTCATTGTATTTAATGCTGTTTTATGCTGATGTGTTGTAGACACCACACCACGCCAACACATTCAAAACTGTGATATAATGCACTACAGTGGGGTTCTGACTCATTTCAGTTTTCTTAGACTGCTGCCAATGAGAGACATTTAAAATGTTTTAATTTGGATTGTTTTACTCATTTTAGCTGTACACGTGTCGACCACCTGATAAAACCTCACCTCTGTAAGAACATGTTGTTTTTATATGAGCTTTTCTTTTGGGGAAGCATAGAGGAAAAATAAAAGTGTTTCAAAAAGTGACTCATGTCTGTGCATTACTTTCTTTTGTCAAATATCAAAGTCAAACTACATAAAATAATATATTAGTAGCGAAGACATCAAAACTATGAAATAACACACATGGAATCATGTAGTAACCAAAAAAGTGTTAAACAAATCAAAATATATTTTAGATTTTAGATTCTTCAAAGTAGCAACCCTTTGCCTTGATGACAGCTTTGCACACTCTTGGCATTCGCTCAACCAGCTTCATGAGGAATGCTTTTCCAACAGTCTTGAAGGAGTTCCCACATATGCTGAGCACTTGTTGGCTGCTTTTCCTTCACTCTGCGGTCCAACTCATTCCAAACCATCTCAATTGGGTTGAGGTCGGGTGATTGTGGAGGCCAGGTCATCTGATGCAGCACTCCATCACTCTCCTTCTTGGTCAAATAGCCCTTACAAAGCCTGGAGGTGTGTTTTGGGTCATTGTCCTG